GGCGCTGGTGGTGGCGCCCCGAGCAGGCCGCGGCGTGTCTTCGACGCTCGCCGAGGGCTGGTTAGCCATTAGTGGTTTTAATCAAGCTTCGTTTTGCCCTAGTTGCGATTTTTGAGGCGTTCGTCCCGTTCCCTGTGACATGTAGGTGGCGGTGTCATCTTCTCAGTTCCTGGCTTCATCTCCTCAGTTCCTGGCTTCCCTTGGTGCCAGGCACCAGCCTGGTCCTTCTGCACCAGCGCTGGTGGGAGCAGCGGAGTCTTGTAAGAAGCATCTTGGTAATCTCTGAGGAAATGAGTGTAGGCAGCAGGGACGTTTTCCTGTTTTAGTGACCTGGTTTCAGGCGTTGTACTTCAGTGGTGCCAAAACTGAGGATGCCAGAAGATGCATCGGGTGCCACAGGTTGTTCTGCATCTCCTCCTCTTGCCCAGTCGCTCCCTTTAGCCAAGCACTTCGCCTTCCTCTCGTGGCTGGAGTGACTGCGTTTAGGCTGGATCTTGTTGCTTTGGTTATGAACAGGAGGTTGTCTTTTTTTTTTGCTTTCCCCCCACCTCAAGTGAACGCTGTTTGTGAAGCATTAACATTTCCAGACACACATTAAAGGAGCACTTAGCGATGTTCAGCCGGTTGGATCGCTCAGTTGGTTGAACAATGCTAACCCTGTAATTTTGCGTACGGGGTGTCTTGCACGTGAATGAGAATAAGGAGGGCGTGTGGTACGATGTGTTTGTTCGTTTTGCTGGACTGCTCTGTTCCTGTGTCCTGGAGATGGGTCTGAAAGAGGGTAATAACCACAGTGAAATTATTTTCTCTATTTAGCCATTCTAAAACATTTACATATTTATGTGGCTCACGTGTATAGCAAGAGGCCAAAATGTGTCTGTGTTGCACTTTTCCTCATTTAATTTATAAGTGTGAAGCAAACAAGGCATTCTGGCTTCACTGAGTCCTCTGCCCGGGGGACCACGCTTCTCATGAGATCCTCGTGAGTGTGGAGAGCTTGGATAGGCTTAGTTTGTCCAGCGCTTTGTGTGGAATCTCTAAAATAAAGAAGAGACTGGGAAGAAAGCGTGAGTAGAGGCAATGGAAGTGGTCGCTTCATATAGCATTTCCCTTGCTTGGCAGGTGGGAGAGCATCTCTGGCTATGGAGAAGTGAGAGGATGTTTTCTGGAAAACACCTTGGAGCTCTTTTATCTCTTTTAATAGGTCTTGAATATTACTTTACTTGAGAGTTCCTAGGTAGGACTGGCTCTGATCTACAAAAAAACCCCACCTTTGAGGCTTTTTCTCTGCCTTTGATTGCCCAGCAGCCTTTCCCCCTTTGCAGGAAATTAGTTTACTAGTTTTCCTTCACCAGGCAAGAAGGAGCGTCGTTCATTCTCAAAGCCCAAAAGCCAGACCTTTACATGTGGCTGCATTGCCATCCAGCTCACCTTTGCAGTGTTTTTTTGCTTGTAGAGTGTAAGGAGTTTCCCATGGCCCCTTCCTGCAGGTAGTTCTTCACGTCTGAAATTCGGTTCAGTTTAGACTTCTCTTCCTTTTTTTTGTTTTTCTCCACAGCTACAGTTGCTAAAGTGATTGACAGATTTGAGGATGAAACCGCAGATGATATTTTGCCCGTTGGTAACATACGTAAAAAGGCTTCGGCCTCTCTCCTGGATGCTGATAAAAGGTACAGTGGAAAAGCTACATCCCGCAAAGCCTTGCAAGAAGAACTCTGGGGGGATGCTCTGTCTGAAGAAGGATCTGGTAAGAATTTCTTTCCCCTTTTCTTCAAAATTTAGTGTTAGGGTGCTATCTGAGCTAGTGGCCATCTGAACTGAGGTGACAAATTTTAGGTGCCTGGTGCAGGGCAATAAACAGGTACAATAGAGTTGGGCATCTTTCGGAAGTGTCTTCCTGAAATTCAGGCCCTGTCTTTTGGCCCAAGGGAAGGGGAAATCCCAAAGAGGAGACTGTGGAGAGAGTCTGTGAGTAAGTGTAAGATGCGGTCAGGATCACTGACTGAACGTTTGATGGAGGAAAAGAAAGCTCATATTTTTAAGCCAGTATATGTTGTGGAATGTGTGTATATACAGATTCTCATTTTAAAAAGCTGCATGGGAAGTCCTGACCACCTTGTTTGTTTATCTCATTGTTTCGTGGGAGAGCTAAGCCACGGATCAACCAACCATTGCTGCAGAAAATGTGAGCCGAGAGCTTTTTGTAAACGTGGCCTCATGTTTCCATTAGTTAGTCAAAACAGAGAGTAACATAGTTCACAGATAAAATAGAGTTTAAAGTTCAAATAGCCCAAACCTGTAGGTGTTGATGGTGCATACTGCAAGGTGGCACGTTTTGCTAGTAGGTGAGTAACATTTCTCTCTTTTCATTATTAGCTGAAGAAGGATCAGACGAATGGTACAGCGGCAGTGAAGATCCCGAAGAGGACGGCAGCTTGGGCAGCAAAACAAAGGAGAAGACCAGCAGTGCTGACATCGACCAGGAGGATGACTTGGGAGATGACGAAGAGACAGATCTGTCTGTCAAGGCTAAGGCAACAGAGTTCAGCTTCCAGAATGTCACAGACTTTGAGAAATTTACAGAGGGAATGGATGATGTAGGAAGCAGTGAAGGAGAAGGTGAAGATGATGCCAGCATGGAAGAAGGAAGTGATGAGGAGGAATACGGGAGTGAAGAAGACGACAGTGTGAAGGAAAGCAAAGATATTGAAGATGATGGAGGGGTGATGACATTCTCAAAACAACAAGATGATGATGAAGTAGAAAAAGGAAAAGCTGTGAGGAACCAGATAGGTTTGTGCACGTTTGCTTTGTGTTTTGGTGAGACTTTCCTCTTGCTGACGCCATAGAACCTGGCTGTGTTGGGAACCCCCTCAGCACGTTACCGTGCTATTAGCGTGCTGCATGTGCATGCTGCAGCAGCCCTGGGCCTTTGCAAATGTTCTGCCAGTTCTGCTGTGCGAGCTGGTGTCACTGCTGCTACAGAATCTTGCATTACAGAGTGCATTTATCCACTGGCTGAACTGAACCAGTACAGGATATACTCGTACTGGTGGGGATGGGGACTTCCTGCATTGGTGGTGTTGGGCAGTGGTGAGTTTCTTCTCAAAATGTAATCCTGACTGCAGTTTATTCCTGTCTGCCCTATTAAACTATCAAACCTCCATTTACACAATATAATTTTAAACAGTAAAGCAGAGGGATGATTTTCTTGGGGGGGTGAGTCACAGAATTGCAGTCAGCATCACAGTCCAGAGACACCTTGTGGTACCGATTCTGTGCTGAGTCAGTGCGTGCAAAGATTTGCCTTCACCAGGAGCAATGCAGCACAAAAGAGAGGGCCTCTGCTGTTAAGACAGCAGCTCCTTCACACAGAGCTGGTGCTTTGGCTTGCTAAATAACTGTTTTCTCTTTCTTATGAAGCACTGTGTGATCACTTACTGGAAGCAAGAATCAAGATGCAGAAGGCGCTCATGACAGCTAACCGGCTTCCACAGCCCGATACCTACCCGATCTTCAAAAAGGAGGGTGGACAAGAATTCGACAATGCTGTTGAGAACTGTAAGAATTTTTCAGTTTTTCTATTTTGGGTAGGCTCTGCTGCAGCCAATATATTTTACCTGTGTGGGGAAATGTTAATGGGAACGTTGAGGAGTTTGAGGTGTGTGTGTCTGTAGTATTACCTGTTGGTTTGTGTTGCCTTAATCATTAATTAGGTGCTCTGCAGACAACCCAAAAAATGCTTCCTAGCCCAGACAAAGAAAGTATCTCCTGTTACCCAGGTCTGAGTTGATCTCTGCTGGGTTGTCATTTACGTAGTGTTGGAAATCCTCAGCTGAGGTCCTGCTGCTGTTTCTGGTTCGCGTGGGGATTGAAGTCTGTTTATCAAATCTGGGGCTCCTGCTGTATTTTAGGAATAATTGGTTTGGTTATTGCTGATCAGTGCTGAGTTGGGATGTTTTGTCCAGAGACACCTTGTGGTACTAGTTTTGTGCTGGGTCAGTGAGTGCAAAGATTTGCCGTAAGCAGGAGTGCTGCAGGACAAAGGAAAAGGCCTGTGCTGTTAAGGATCCAGAGAAGCCTCCTTGGGTGAACCACTTGGTAGGAAACATTGAAACCTTTCGTGCTGAACATCAGAGGTTGCTGTGGCCTTATGTCTGTTCAGCCACATGATGTGCCAGTAGTGGCACCTGCACCTGGAGAAATTTTGGGCTGGGTTGGCACAAACCATCTTAAAACTGAGTTAGGATCTTTCATCGTCATGGAGCCTGACCCTGAATGTTGCCCTACACCAGCTTTTGACTGTCACATTACAGCTTGAGTGTTGTAGCTAGTCAGCTTATCTGAAGTTACAGCAGGTGAGATACTTTAAAGTTAGCTCTGCTGCTTTAAGTGATTAAGGAAAAAAAAAAAAAGGCAAACTCCCAACAATACTAAGCTGACCTTTCAGTGAAATACGTGTTATTAATGTATTTAATGAGATGCATTACACACTGCACGGAGCACTGTGTTTCATTACAGGTCTAAAATGCAATATAGTTAAAGACCTTTAACAGAAACAATGGTTGACATTTTGATATTTCCCATAAGCAAAATACATCCAAGAGCATGGAGTTTAACGCCGAGCGCAGAACAGCAGAGAGGCTAATCTTTCCGTTGTCCGGAACGCCGAAGGAAAATCCACTGTTAGTCACCGCTCAGTGATTCCCTCCCCACCCATGCTGTTCTCGTAACCCGGGCAGGAGAGTTGCAGCAGCGCGCTCTGATGTTCCCCGTAGCCTGGGTTCGTGTTCTGGATTTCATCTTGTGAAGAAAGCGAGAAGATAAAGCTGGAGTGACCTGAGCAAAGTTAGCAGAGGAAGCATCCAAACTGACACATGGGAAGTAAATGAATTCAGAAATTTACTGCCACTACTATGCTGGCTTCATCTAAGGGGCCAGGTTTATATGCTTTTTTCTAATTTTTAATTTTTTTAAAATACAGTCTGTGCAGCAAATTAGGTTACAATCAATAACCTCTTTATTGATGAGTTACGCTGTTGTCCAGTGCAGCTGTCTTTCCCTGCCCCACAAAGTTGCTCTTTCCAGAAGTTACAAAGTGCCAGGCATAAAATAAGGAGTAAACTTACACTGAAAGACCAGGAATGTAGTTGGTGTTGTGTTTCAAAGACTCCTTTCTCTCTCATTTTGCTGTGTTGAGCCTTGGGAGAGGGATTTGTGTCTAATCAACAGCTAGAGCTTCACCCCATAGGCAGTCTGAGCTGTGTTACATCTTCATTCGTGCACCTGGAGGGGAAAAAAAAATCTCACTTCTTCTAGATCATCTTGCTATAAAGGTCCTTATTTTTAGCTCATCAAGTGCTTTAGTGGCTTCTATAAAAATAAACGTTTTTTCACTCAGTTCTAACCAGTGATGTAAACATTTCTGAGTTCTTATCCCAGTTGTGGGTAGGATCCCCTTCTCCAGACAGGAAAAATTAGAAGAGCTGTGTGTAAGTTGAAAGATGAGCAGAAGACAGGACTTTGTAACTACTGAACGTTGAGGGGGCTCTGTTGTGCACAATACGGGACAGAGTTTGGGATCCTCTTGACCCTGACACCGTTTTGGACTGGATGACAACCTCAGGGAAGCTTCAGCGCTTCTTTCCAAATCCACAGGATGAATCTGGCGTGCTTTCATCCCCTTCATTGAGGAGGAGGAAATGATTCGGCGTTCAAGTTGCACAAAGCGGTTGGTGCCAAAAATCCTGGCTCTTGGTGTGCCCGGTCACCTGCTGAGGGCAGGAGGGGACAGAGAGGTCTCGGTACTCGGCTCTCTCTGAGGTCCTGGAGAAGTCTCTCACGTGTCTTTATCTCAAATCCCTCCGTTGCTCCTGAAATTTCTTCTCTATGCTCACAGGAACAGTCAATTTTTTTGAAATGAAAAATGGTACTTCATGTATTTGCATCCTCTTTGGTGTCTCCCAACCCTCTGTGAGCTGGTGGTGGCAGCAAAATTCCCTAAAGGTTTGAGTGTAATTGTGTTAAAGAGTAGACAGCAGTGCTCTGTACGTTTGCAGTTTTAAAGCCAAATAAGAGTGAAGATGGTACGGTCATGCTCGTTTTCCAAGTTTTGAGATTGGAGGTTACAAAACCTCAGGTGTTTAATGTATTGGTTTTGCATTCTTTTATGAAATATTTTAAAAAACAAGAAAAAAAGATACAGTGTGTGTTGGACAGTCTTGGGTTCCTGAGAGCTCAGGTTCTGGTGGATGATTTACTGCAAAATTGCTTATAAATTGAAGTAGAAAATGTTTTGCAGACCTGGCAGCTTTCAGGCTTCACACCCATTTGTCACCCAGCATTTCCCTTTGTGTATAGAACAAGAATTAATTAGGCTGCACTGCAGGAAAAGTTTATGGCCATAATTTATATAGGATGAATTTCTGTTTAAAGAGACAGCATTGCTTTGTTTGCACCGTCTTACTTTTTCTTTTTTTTTTTTTTGTTAAATCTTTAATCATATTCCAGATTTATTTATTTTTTTTTTTTGGTCGCCCTTTTTACATACAAATTGGAGACCAAACTGTGGTCACGGAGCTCATGTTTGTTCCCGTTTTGCATCTGTGGACTGGAGGTTTTAGTGCTGAAATCGCAGCGGCCGCGCTCGGGACGCCGGGCGAGTGTTTTTAACGTTGAACACGTGCGTGAACTCCCCCGGCTCGCGTTTCCGCGGTGCTGCTGCCTGGAGCGGTGTGTTCTGCCCAGATACATTTGTATTCTCTTGCACCCTATCTTCCAGTCTAGTCTGGGGCTTGAGATGTTGCCTCTGTTTGGGGTCTTGCACGTTCAATTAATGTTTTTCATAATCAATGCGAGTCAGAATTTGCAATCTGCTCCTGATTTGCACATTAAAGAGACCCATTAATTAAAAATTCCAATCCCTGGCATGTTCCCGCAGGATCCTTGCGTTATTTACATAGAAAAAAGAGTGCAAGGTGCAAGTTTCTGTGCTGTGTCTCTGCACAGATTGCATGCCTGCCATTCATATCTCTGTGTATGTTTTCAAGGGGGAGGAGGGTTAGGAGAGGATCTCATGAAAATGTCACCAAAAATTACCTCAAGGGCAAGAAAGAGCCAAAGAAGAGGTGAAAGCGACATTAGTGAAGCTACATCAGTGTCAGGAATTAAGCAGTTCCTGGGTTTGGGGCTTGTTATGTTAAAATCTCGATTCGGTAACAAAAACCCCCACAGCTAATTGGGGGGCGGGGTGGGGGGGCAACAAGAGACTTAAGAAAATATTATTGCTCAGCTGACAAAGGCTTCTAAGGCGTTGGATATGCCCCGGGTAGCCAGACATCCCGATACGGTCATGGAGCTTTATTCTTGCTATTTTGATTACTCTCTCTCTACAATCCTGGTTAAAAATACTAAGCTGGGAATGTTTCAGTGACTGGTACTTGATGCTCTGCAAGAAGAGCTGGGAATTCTCGGTTATTTTTTTTTTGTAGCATAATATGTTGTTTTCAGTTCTTAGTTGCTGAATTGAGGAGTTAAAAGCACAGAAACCCAGATGAGGCTTTTGCAGAAGGGAAGATGCTGGTGGAAATTGCAAAACTTTGGACGAGTCGTTGTGTGTGCTTTCCTATGGATGTGCTTTCACTTCCCACAAGTTCACGTTTTTACACCAAATGTAAACTGCTGGCTGAGTTTCTGTGGGTTATTTTGTTTTGTTTTGATTCTGTGTGTCAGTGTACTAAGAGAAATATTGGAATCTCAAATTTCTGTTCTTCATCATAAGCTTGAGATAAGTTGCTTTGGAGAAATGGAGAAAACGTTGATTTTGGTGAAAGGTGGACCTGCAGAGTCTATAAGAATGGATTTGCTCACCAAAGGAACAAAAGTGGGGACAACAAATATTAGCTGTTACTTACACTTTGTAGAGCTGTGAAGATATACAAAGGTTTGTGATCAATATGAAAATAAACCTGAATAAAGTGAATCAGATGGAAAAAAAAAATCAAATTAAATGCTGCATGTGCTCACAAGGCCATTATCCCCAAACCTGCCTGGGTTATTCATGTTTCACCGGAGCAGCAGCAGCGAGCTCTGCCTGGCAGCCACCGAACTCTTCAGCACAGTGCTTTGCCCACTGCTAATAGAGACAAAATTGTACAGGGCTTTTTGAGTCCTTCTTAAATTTGTGCATCTCTTCTCGACTCACCGATGTTTGGGCTTTAATTTGTGCTCTGTAGAGTCGACTGTGTCTTGTTTCCCTGGTCGCTGCGATGTTACTCCAGATGGATCATCCATGGATGTTCTCTGGGGCCGTGCGCTGGTGCCGTTGTGCCCACGCACAGAACATAAGTCCTGTGCTCCTTGTCTTCACGGGGCGCGCGTGATCCAGAAGAAGCCCTCTTGCCCCCATAATTTAGCATTTCTGTAGTATCCCCTTTGCAGTCCCTCCAGAAGAGCTGTTGTGTTGGGCTCATTCACACCAGAGATGAGCTTATGCAGGAGATGGGGCGTTGAGGAGTGCTGCAGCTGCCTTGGTTGCCCTATGAGCACACTGCACCTGGCCT